GAAGCTTTAGGAAAGCATTACATTTGGATAGGAGGGGTCCAACGGAATGGAATTAGGTGCCTTTGCAGCCCGATGGAAAGACATTTAAATAACCCAAGAGAATCAAAAAATTGCAAAACCCAGCTTAAGTAGTGAAGGCTGTTAGCCTCAAATTTGTGACTAGGGAGAAGAAATAAGACATGCTACTAGTTATATCTAGGGGGTGTGTGGGCCAGAGACCAAGCACTTTGTGGTGGGGGCCGGGGGGTGTGTGTTGTATAGACATTAGGGTTCCAGTCTTTGTGGGTGGTAGCCTGGGAGCATTGCGTCCAGGACAGGGCTTTTCTCCGCCCTCTAGTGGCTCTGTCTGGTAATACCTGGAACTAACAACAATTTCAATGTGTCAAAAAGTTTAAAAGAAATGGTGTGACCTTTCTGTGCTTTTGGCTGGAATTCTATCCATTTAATCTGGGAGCGGAATTGTCTCACGCTGACCAGAACCTATGATTGACAAAGGCATTGTGACTTAAATGCAGCTCGAGAGACCAAGAGTTCTAAAATGGAGGCCGCAAAGAGAAAGGTAAAAGGGATTGTTGATGAAAATCGTGGAAAGCGCTAGCTGCCCCGCAAGCTGGGGTTCCAGAGCCTTCCTGGGCCAGACTTTGGACCAAAGCACTTACAACATCTTTGAATCCAGTTTCCTCAGCAGAGACATGAGGGTGTGAATGAAATGGTTTCTCAGGCCACAGCTGTCCCTGATTTTCTGCAAAGACAAAGTGTAGACGAGTTTAAGAATGGGAACCAATTTCTCAGTCTGGATTCATTTCTTTCCACAGTTAAGTAAAACCTAACACAGGGTTACACTTTTAAAAGAAACAAAACGTTGCGGCTCATGCTGGAGAATCAATCCATTTTGTCCTTAACCTCTGAAACAAAGGGCTTGCATCAGTCCACCCCGCTTTTCAGCCCCTTGACAAACAGCTGAGAAAAAAAAAATGTCTGCTGTATGCCTCTTTTGTGCCCATTTAATTTTCAAATAATAATAATAATAATAATAGTAGTAGTAGTAGTAGTAGTAAAAATGCATTTTTCATTTGATGGGAAGAAGGGTGGCAAGAAAGCAGAAGGAAAACTGAAAAGGGCACTCTTTTTAAAGTGAGAACTGAGGTGACATTGATGCTAGTGATACCAAAATGCCATCAGGAAAGAAGTCTCCAGCTTTGCATTCCCTCGTACTTGTCAGGTATTCTTTGCCCAAATCAGTTCACTCTAAAGGGAGAGAAACAGGGGACAGTGAGATCAAAGTCACCCAAAAGTATACAAATTTGGAATCACCTATCTTGAAAGGAGAACAGCGGACGAGTCCCCCTCCATGTAGCCATAGTTACTGAGTCTTATATGCTGATTCTAGAAAACAATAGTGATTCTGAAGAATATATGTCTACTTAGGGTGAGGGCGTGACTCCTGGGAGCTGGGGTTCCTTCTGCCCTTGCTGTCGTGGCTATTTTTTTTTTAAACTGCAGTAAAATATACATATAAAATTAACTATCTTAACCATGTGTAAGGGTATACAGTTCAGTGCTGTTGAGCAGATTCATATTATTGTGCAACCCATTTCCAGAACTCTTTTCATCTTACAAAACTGAGCTTCTGTACCATGAAACAACTTGCCAGGTTCTGTTCCTTCAGCCCCTGGCAACCACTGTTGCACTTTCCGTCTCTGTGAAACTGGCTGCTAGTTACCTCATATGGCATTTTTCTTTTTGTGACTGGCTGGCTGCATTAGGCATAATATCCTTCGAGGTTCATCCGTGTTGTAGTATGTTAGCATCTCCTTCCCTGTTAAGGCTGACTAGCATTCCATTATTTATCCATTCCATTTTGTTTATCCATTCACGCGGCCAGTGGACACTTGGGTTGCTTACAACTTTGGGCTATTGTAAATCATGCTGCTATGAATGTGTGTGTACGAATATCCATTTGAGTTCATTTTCAGTTCTTTGGAGTACATACCTAGGAGTGGAATTGCTGGATCATGTGGTAATTCTATTTTTTTCTTTTTTTTCAGCTTTATGGAGGTATAATTGACAAAACTGTTAACATTTTAAGTGTATGTGATTTGATAAGGATCCCACCATCAAGTTGATTATCCATTACCTCACATACATTTTTTTTGATGAGAATACTTAAGATCTACTCTTAGCAAATTTCAATTCCATAATACAGTATTGTCAATTATAGTCACCACGCTACATACATTAGATCCTCAGATCTTATGCATCTTATAAATCAAAGTTTTACTCTTTTACCAACCGCTCCCCATTTTCCCCACCTCCCAGCCCCTAGCCACCACCATTCTACTGTTTCTATGCGGTTGTTTTTTTTGTTTGTTTGTTTTTGAGATTTCACATGTAAGTGATATTATGCAGCATTGTCTTTCTCTGTCAGGCTTATTCCCTTAGCATCATGACCTCCAGATTCATGTATATTGTCACAAATGGCAGGATGTCTTTTGAGGCTGAATAATATTCCATTGTATATATAAATACCACATTTTCTTCATTGATTCGTTGTTGTACACTTGTTTCCATATCTTGGCGCTTGTGAATAATGCTGCAATGAACATAGGAAGGCAGCAGGTCTCTGTTCAAGAGTGATTTTGTTTCCTTTGGACATATAACCAGAAATGGAATTGCAGGGTCATAAGGTAGTTTGATTTTTAATTTCCTGAGGAACCTCCCCACTGTTTTCCGTAGTGGCTGCACCAATTTACATTCCCACCAATAGGGTACAAGGCTTTCCTTTCTCCAAATCCTCACTAGCATTTGTTCTCTCATCCTCTTAGTGATTACAGATGTGAGGTGGTATCTCACTGGGGTTTTGATGTGCATTTTCCTGATGATTAGTGATATTGAGCGTCTGTTTATGTACCTGTTGTCCATTTGTGTATCTTCTTTGGAAAACTGTTTATTCAAGTCCTTAACTCATTTTTAAAATTGCGTTATTTTATTTGCTATTGGTTTGCATGAGTTCCTTGTATATTTTGGATATTAACCTCTTATACATGGTTTGCTAATATTTGCTTCCATCTATAGGTTGCCATTTCATATTGTTGATGGTTTCCTTTTCTGTGCAGAGTTTGCAATTTGATGCATTTATTTTGACTTTTGTTTTCTTTGCTTTTGGTGTCAAATCAAAAATATCATTGCTAAGACTAATGTTAAGGAGCTTACCTCTAATGTTTTCTTCAGGAGTTTTAGTTTCAGGTCTTACGGTCAAGTTCTTAACCCATTTTGAGTTGATTTTCTGTATGGTGTAAGGTACGGGTCTAGTCTCATGCTTTCGCATGTCCAGTTTTCACACTACCATTTACTGAAGAGACTATCCATTCTCCATTGTGTGTTCTTGTCAAAAATGAACTGACCATATATGCATGGGATTATTACTGGGCTCCCTATTCTGTTTCATTGATCTACATATCCTGTTTTTTCCCCAGTACCATACTGTTTTGATTACTATAGCTTTGAAATATAGCTTGAAATCAGAAAGCATGTTGCCTCCAGCTTTGTTCTTCTTTCTGAATGTTGCTTCAGCTATTCAGGTCTTTTGTGGTTCCATGCTAAGTGTAGGGTTGTTTTTTTCTACAAATGTGAAAACTGCCATTGGAATTTTAATAGAGATTGCATTGAATCTGTAGACCACTTTGGGGAGTATGGACAATTTCACAATATGAATTCTGGCAATCCGCGAGCATGCAATACCTTTCCACTTATTTTTGCCTCTAATTGCCCCCCTCTAACCACAGATCAAACCTGAGCTGAGGCTGCCAATCAGTGCTCTACATAATCGGCTCCTCACCCTGTGTGAACCCTGGCATTCCCGGAAACAAGTGGTTCATTTCCAAAGCCATGTCTTACAACCATGGCTACTTCAAGCCTTTGCTCATGTATTCCTTCCATCTAAAGGGTCTCCTCCATTCTGCCTCTTAAATTTTATCCACCCTTTGAAACCCTCAAAAGGTCTTTCTTTCTTATGCTCATACAGAACCCTTTTCTGAACACCTGTAACACCCACCTGCTGTCTGCTTATTTGAACATGTTCATCGTTTCCTATTTAGATGTGTTTTTTGTTTCGTGTGTTTACCTTTTGTCTTCCCAAAGGAACCCAAATCTTGGAAAAGTACGACCCATCTTTGACAATTCCTTTATATGTCTTAAGCTGCAGGAGGCACCTCAACAGATACTTTAAAAGTGAAGATCATCTTGATTTTAAAAAGAGCATCTTGATTAATTTACACATGCTGATAGAATCACTTATTTACAGTCAATTGGCATCTCACTCATCACATTTTTTTTGTTGCCCGCATTGTGAAATGGTACTGTTGGTGAAAATCACTTCATAATAAAGCCTTTTGGACTTTAAATCAAATTCTACCTTAGAGAATATTATAGGGCCAAGGTTCTGGAATATATTTCATATTATTTATCAAACTTCAATTTCTCAATACTGTGCCCCAGTCTGTACGTGACAATTAATTTAATATTAGGCATGTCATAGCAAATAATATTTAAACAGAAACCAAGGAAATCCTGATATCAAATAGCCAATGAACAAAAACCGGTATTTATTTATGCAAATATTTAAAAATTCCTTTAAATCTTCAAAAATTATGTTTTTATGAATATATAAAACAGGAAATCTAAAGTGAATATCAAGATTTCATCTGCAGTTCATAAAAATACTGAAGTAAAATTCCTTGCTACAAACACAGCAGAGTTGATTAGAGTGAGAAAAATGTAAAAAAAAGATCAGTTTCTACCTTGGAAAAGGCACAACGTCTGTTTTCTTAAAAAAGTATTTCAATAGTAGGAATTTCTATAAAAAGATTAAGTTTTTCTTGTCATAATGACATCTTGAAAACCTACATAGCTTCACCCCTGCCAACTAGACTTAGAACACATGAAATAAACTCCCAATACAGAAGACTTTTGTTCTAGAAAACAGGTCATGCGTATGCTGATAAAGAGCAAAAGACAAGTGCTTTATTATGAGAACTGTTCAAGTAAAATTTCAGTGTGCACCAGTGAGAGTGAAAAGATTTGCATCAATGTTTTTTTGAATGAACACTAGGTTAAAAAGGGGCTACACAGCTGTTGCTTTTTTCCCCCCAAACACCACCCTTCGCTAAGGCAAACATACACTTGATTTTAGAACAGAATTGGTACAGAAGAAAGCTACATCACAGTACAGTACAGAATGGAAAAGTCCTCCTAGCCTGGGAGCCATTATGGAATGGCATCACCTACACTTCGAGTGTTCTAACGCAGGTAGGAATTACAGTATTTATCACAGCTTCTATTTTTCTTTAAACTGATAAAATCTGAATACACTTTCTATTTCTCAGGAGGGTGCAGATGGGGCCCCTATGTAGATATTACAGTAATTACAACATTAAATAACATTGCACAGTCAACCTCCAAGGCTAATTCAGTATAAAATAACAAGTATTAAAGTGTACCTTTACTAGTGGTTTTACATCGCATACGTCACTGATTATGAAAGAAAAGTTGGCAAATGCCCAATTTTACACAGCCACACACATGATAGGCATAACAATGGGGAATAAATACAAGAAATCTGGCAAAACAGTAAAAACAAACAGGTTACATGGGAACAAACTGAACAATGTAAGCGTAAACCAATAATATACTGTTATAAACAGAATGTTTTGCTCAAAAGTCTCTTAAGTACTTACAGAGATTACGGGGCCGGGGGTGGGAGAAGAGGAGGGGAGGAGAGCGAGGCAGACGTCCCCAATGCCAGTTAATTCCTGAGGTGGCATTATTTCTTAACTGATGCATTGATCAACAAAGATGACTTTGTGCTATGAAACAGTCCCGATATTATATTCCCGCAATGAGATTGCGGTATTCGGAAGGCAGCAACCCTAAGTGACAGTTTACATTATAACAGCCAGATGAAGTATTGATTCTTGTTCATTGTGCTGCTACAATGAGCAGTGGGCCAGAAAACACTCAAAAGTCCAAAAAAATTTGGTGTAGGTTTTACTCTCCCCCCAGGACTTCTTAGTAAGCTCAAGGCAAAGCTATTATTTATTTTCACCTACTTTATTTTAAAAACTCTAAGTGCCAACACTGTAAACATTTTGCATCTTCTCAATTAAACCTTGTCTGGTAACAAGGGTAAGAGCCAAGATAAGCAGGTCTAATTCTGTGTATAATAAAGCTGATCTATTTATCAGCTTCTGGTTTAACTTTAAATAGGATTTTAAAATAACTTTTAAAAGTCCATGCTACAATCGTCAAGACTATTTCTGTGCACTTTTAATTCTGGACAGTTTTCGAAATTGCATGATGGAGGTACGAATTTAAAAAACCCACCAGAATGTAATAACAGGGAAGAATATTTTCAACTCAAAGAATCAAACATACATTTATGTGCAGAAATCTAGACAACTATACAAGTTTTTGAGCAGTCATCTGTTTTATTATACAACTCTATGAACAGAAAATGAACAGAAATACACAATTTACTTACCTGTACATGTGAACCTACTTTTTTTTAGCTACAGATATTTATTATAGTTCGTACGGACTTTAATTTTACAGTTCATAACTATGTATAACCTTATTGCATTAAGGGCAAATTCTACATGGGGAGATTCACAGGCCAATCACATTAGGCATCACCAGTACATTCAAAAACTGTACCCCATAATACGGTTGTATCTTCCCTGATCCTGTAAATTTGAGTCTCTTTACAGTTTGAGCTCATTTGCTATCTTAGATGCAATGTTCTTAAAGGCAATAGACGTCCCAGATATTCGCTTGAAGCGGACCCCGTTGAGCGACAGCCGCGGCAACTTGCAGACTTCCATCTCCCACTGCACGAGGCTATCCTGTCTGGCATCTCCATGGACACAGAAAAGCAGAAACCTCTCTTTCTGCTCATAATCACAGTTGTTCGCATCTAACACTTTCCGGATTTCTCTCATCATGTCATTGGGGTCCATGGAGCTGGTGGTCTTCATACTCCAGGTGAACCGCAGAGAGCGGGGTTTGGGGTCTTTGCCCTCCTCCTTGTCTCTTTCTTTCGGTTCCCCGGATGTACTTCTGGAAGAAGAGGGCAAAGGGCAAGAATGGAAACAAAAATTCCATTTAGCACGGAAATCAAGACACACATAAAATCTACGTGGTCACAATTCAGTGCTTAGTACAACTACCTAATTTGCAGACTCCCTTCAGGTAGATTTACGTCATTTGCTGTCACAAAAACAGACCCTGGGATGCCACCTGTTTTGACTTAACTATTAATATCTTCAAATTAAAATAGCATATTTTCTTAAATGTATTTGTCTGTGGGAAATAAGACTGCAGCCGGAAGTGAAGAATTTAGTGCTTTTTCAGTGCCTTCCATATTTTTCTGTTTTAAGTTTGCAAAAGCAGATTCTCCACTTTCTGTGCATGTGGACAAAAAAAGAGACCGCTGGCATTCTGTTTGTAAATACACATTTTCAAAATACGAAGAAAACGCTACCTTTTTTGGGGGGTAGCAGAGACTGGGGACAAGAATAGTAGTCATGGCTACAAAGGGTTATTGGCACCCGACAATGCTGAGCAAGGGTGTTGTACTGCAACGAGGGGAAGATGTCAGGTGGCACCACACACCAGAGTATAGACATCGGGTCCGGTAATGGTGTCAGCATCGTGCTGAAGACATCCTTAAATAGCCTCCATGCCAACTCCTCCCTGCAAAGCCCCATTGTCTACTCTTATTCTCTTTGCTCACTCCTCTCAAGACACACTGGCCTCCATACTATTCCTTGAACACACAGGGTCTGGTCTGGCCTTACGGCTTTTGCACAGGCTGTTCCCTCTGCCAGTGGTGGCATGACTAACTCCCTTACTTCTTTCAAATCTTTGCTCCCTTTCTCCATCCGAGCTATGCTGACCACACTATTCCATCCCCCACTCCTGCCCTGGCATGGCCAGCCTCCCTTACCCTGCTCCGTTTTTGCCTCTGTAGCATTTATCCCATTCTAATGTACTATTTAATTCATTTATTATGTTTAGTATTCGTTGTCACAATCTACCATGAGACTGTCAATTCCAGGAGGCCAAGGAGCTTGGTCTGTCACGTTTACTGACATTCTCAGCCATCGAGAACTGTACTGGGCACACAGTAGAGGACTAACAGTATTTGTTAAGTGCATCAACCTTACAGAATTTTCCTTACTGCAGGTCTCCCATAAATAACATAGAACTGGAAAACTTATTTCACACAATCACAGGAAGGTAAAATTAATAGATTATTTGTGATTCAGAAGACCCTGTAATTACATTTATTGAACAATTATCCAGATACCGGTTAACTTGTTCACCTATCTCACATACTTTGAAAGTTTATAATCTACTACATATTTTATAACAATATTATCATATAATGTATACCCATGTATACATTTACACATACGAATTTTTATGTGTACATGTATATTTACGTTTCCCCCTCATTCCCAGGTATCTGAGCCCCCAAAGCTCTGTAAACGATGCAAACTTGAGAAAATAAGGAAAGAAATAAGAAAATAAATTTCCAAAGACTATTAAATAAGTATGGGGAGCATTTCTTTCCATGTCTTCTCTCCCTTCCTCTTTTTCCTCCTGACTCGAAGCCACAGGGCTCTTTGGGTGTGTAGAGCTGACCAGCGTCATGTATCAGGACCACACAACTCAGGCTATGGGACCAGCACGCCAGGGCTGGGAGGGACCCAAGAGACCACGTGCTCGAGCACTCATTTTAAAAACAGAGTGGATGGCTAGGAAACTTCAATTACTCTTTTAAAGGTCATACAGCTAATGAGTTGAAAAGTGAAGACTAGAATTTAGGTGTCTTATTCCAACTCTATTTTTCCTTGTGTTCCACCAAGACAACAGAAACATATAAGACGTTTTCCTACAAGCATCTCAAAGGCATCAGCAATGGCATTGTTAACCGTAGAAGGCCCTGGAAATGCTGAGACTAATAATAACGGCTAACATCTGTTGAGCACTTAGTAGGTGCCAGAAACTGTTGTAAGTGCCTAGCATGTGTCATTTCCTCACTGACTCTCACAACAACCCTAGGAGGCAGTCAGAGTGAGGAACTGGGGGGCCCGAAGAGTAAGTGGTAGAACAACTCAAACCCCTGGGGTCTGGCTCCAGAGCCCGTGCTTTTCACCATCGTGTCCCACCACCTTTCTGAAACGACAGAGCCTCATTAGAATGGGCTTGGCCCCACCAATTCCCTTACTGTTTCTTCTTCTCTAAAATGGATGCTTTCCACCTGGTGGTTGTGAGGGTTAAACAGCCAGCAAGTACCTTATGGGTAGTAGGTATTCAAATAAGTTTGTTCAAAAACAACAACAATAAAAAGCCCAACAAGCACCAAACAAAAGAGACACAGAGTCACATTAAAAGGATGAAACGCATGCAGATTAACTGCAGTATGAGCAGCATGTCATTAACGTGGTTGCTAGTCGTCCCGCGCCCCCAATCACAGGCCCAGCCACCTTTTCTCTCCCCCCGCCCCCCTCATTCTGACTGTGCTCAAGGGTGAGACCCATCGCCAGAACAAACTCACAACCGGTACTAAATGTCAAACCCATGAAGCACCGCAGGGTGAACGTTCCCAGATGGGGTCCACCACTGCATACCACCTACAGTATATTATTCCTCTCATCAAATTCCCCTACACATTTGGCTACCCCAGTGTTCTGTGTTATCTGACTCAGACTAATTTTAGTCACATAATTTTAGTGAGAAAAGGATCAGTCCATTTAATCTACTGATTCTTCTGCTAAGACATATTTGACAGGACAGAAAGGCGATATCGCGACAAAGCATACAATTCAAAATAATATTTAGAAAACATAACCTCACAGTGAAGTGAATGTAATGAAATGCTAGGCAACATTAGGAAAACCCATCCCAATATAAAAACTGAACACACACATACTATCTACTGATTAGTTCTACTCATGTCTATTAAGAGCTGTCAGGATTTCAGAAGCACGTTTGCATCACAGGGTCCTGGCAGCGAAGTATTAATAGTGGCTCCTCACCTTGAGGTGTCGGTTCTGCCACTGGCTTCGCCTTCACTTGCATCCCTCAAAACAAAGTGAAGGTTGAGATTTAATGATGAGAGTGAAAAATATATCAAGAAAACGTACATCCGAAATGATTTTAAAATTAACTCAAGCAAACTTCTAGCAGTTTTCTACTACTAGGCAGTCTCACACTGTTTCTCACGTTTTTCAACATCACCACACTTCACTGTCATTTATTTATTGAGCGCCTACTGGGTATTGTCATAGAGGAGAGGCCAGGTGACAGTTTAGGATTATTTTGTTTTTATCTGATCTTTCCAATTTTCAGGCACATTTTTAAAGTTATCATTTTGGTTGAGTTCAGTTCAACCTATAGTTAAAACTATTTAATAATTATCAACAGCAAGATTCAACTTTATATTTGTTATTAAACAGAATTCTAGTAGTCGCTCAATTTAGAACATATATAAATTCACTTTGCAATTAGAAATAAAGCTCAACACATATGTATTTCTAAAAATCAATATCAATTTTTAAATAAGCAATTCACTTATTTCAGAAGTTATGCTAATGAGTTACCAACATGATAAAACGTTAACAGCAAGCCAACAGCCTATCCAAGCAGGTGAATCTAAAAACATGAATTCAATCTTAAACAGAAACATTGATCTTACCTGGATATCCACCTGTGAAATAAAACCAGAAAACTACCTTCCGTTGAATGTAATTAATATTTCTTAAGTCTGCCAAGATTTTAACTACTTTGTCACTTTCAAAAGTAATTTTAAATATCTACATAGGAGTATCAAGTTATAAAGCAGTTTAAATATATGAAGAGATGGCTTGTGATAGCCAAATACTATTAAATAGTTGGGAAACATTACCAACTTGAACCCTTATGTTAATGTTTTCTTAATGTTTTCGCCACACCAGCAACATATTATTTACGTAAAATGACTGCAACAGAAATAAAATCGGTGCCACTTTTGTCACCCCCTCAAGTTAATAAAACACATCCACCCACTAAGCTCTAAAACTTTAAGGCATTTTAACCTGGTGGCTAAAAATATGAATGTCTTATGCTTCTCAGGGTCTTTAACTACAGGCCTTTCTTGACAAACATAATGTGTAACAATCATTTTCCTCTCTGTTAAAAAGGATAAGATGCATTCTCACATTCAACTGGGGTTTCTTAAATTTCTATGTTTAATTACCAGCATTTTCACTGGGAAGCATAATGAAAATTCAACGTCATGTACACAAATCTATTTTTATTCTAGCACACTGAAGTAAGTAATACATGTTTTGAGGAGGCGCAGAGCGAAACGCACAAGTCCAGGTGCACGTCGCTGAAGGGCGGTCTGTCACCTTGGCAACACAGGCCGCCGGGCAGTTGGTTCCTGCGGCGAAGACGCAGCTCCTTTAGCAGGAAGGCGCAAGCGTCTCACTGGACGTTTCTGTCCTGTTCGTTTTGCCTCGTAAATTGCTGTGAGCAGACAAGACACCTGCTCCACACCGCTGAACTTTCAGCGTTAGGAAGGAAATGCCCCTTTGATGGTACCTCCCCTGCTACAGCTGTGGAAATAGCAACTGACTTGTCACACGGTTTTCCATGCCCTGTTCCTGCTGCCTTCCTGGGTGCCACTAGGAATAGGGACTGGAAGAATTCCCGTACTTGGTAATGGTTTTAAATAGTCCAGTGAGCCAGCTGCAAGCACCCACGTGGGAGGCAGCTGGGGGTGTAGACAGCACAACTGGGTTGTAGACAGCACAGCAGGGTAGCATGGCTCTCCAACACTCAAATGTTTAAGAAAGCCAAATATCTTATATATAGCACATAATCAATTACTAATTAGGTTATCCCCTATATAAGAGCGAGCTAGGGTTAAAAAAATCATCAGGTTTGATATAATCCCCAGCATAAAGACTAGTTACGTGGAACTTATCCAGAGCAAATGGGTCTAAAGGCTATAATACTTAATAAAGACTTTTGAAAGAGTACATCTATTGCCTCTCTTGATAGGCAGTTCCAGTGTAAATCGCTTTCCTACTGGTAAACAGCCCTCTAACGTGCTCACTTTCGCATATAGTCTTCTTATTGGCCAAGAACTACTAACTGGCTTCCTCTCGGTAATAATGGTTTTTCAGTACATGAAAGATTATTCTTTATCCTTCCCTTCTTAAAGCTTAACAACCCAAATTCCTTTACTTTTGTCCCCTATAAAATCATCTGCTGAAGCATGTAGTGCCACATTGACTCGGCTGGTCTCCAAGTTTGTAAGGTGTCTTGGCTCCCAAGTTGGAAAGTTAGCCCTGCGCCTGAGCACCCTCAGATCCGGTGCTGGGCACACGGGGTGTCAGCCTACGGGTTCCACTTCTACAGGCTTTAGGTACATGAAGTGAGGAAGGCAAAGGGGACAGGGAGGAAAGGCCAGGCTTGAGCCCCGGATGGACTTAAGAAGAGACAAGTGGGAAGGACAGATAACCCGAGAAACGAGTGGAGAATGTTAAATAATAAGGCTGTCATTTGTTTCCACGCCTCCAATCATCCCCAAAGTTCAATATGCTGTGAAGGCAGAAAGGACAAGGGTATTTCCAGTCTGTCACTTGCTAAGGAACTTAGCGGGTTCATTGCTGGGACTGAAACCAATGCTGTGCTTGCCTTCCTGCATTAAATCACTTGTGGTAGCTTATACAGCCCAATCTCAAGCTACAAAATGCTACGTAAGGGCAGACTTCATGCCCTGCAGTGAACACACACACGTCTGTAAACAAAGCTGTTCACATGGTGACAAGTGACCTTGGAGGAAAACTGAGATTTTTTTCTCTTCTCCAACTAAATCCAGAATTAATTAAAATGTGTTAAAAATCAAGACATTGAAAAAACCTTACCAAATTGCTGACAAAGGCTCGCAAATCACCTCTCCCCTCCCTCCTACCCCCCTTCCCAAAAAGCCCTCTACTAAATGACATCGTTAACGTTTAATAAGAGCATTGTAAACCTTTGGAAACTTACCAGCTCCCCGCAGAGGCTAGCTCTGAACACCCCGATCCCCCAACTCATTCTCTGTTTCAGGACCTGCTTTCTTCCCAGCACTTACCAGCATTTATTATAACCTTACTTCTTTGTTTGCTTTTGACACTGTCTTCCACGCTATTCATACACTCATTCGATAATGTCTACTGAATGCTTCCTTACGTGTCATCGTCGGCACTCAGTATTCAGAAGATTCAGGATAAAACAAAGCAAACAAACAAACAAGTGCCTGTTCTCATGGAGACCATCTCCTAGCGGGGAGAGACAGGCAATGGACAAGCAAGTGAACGTATACATCTGTCAGGGAGCACTGGTGCCGTGGAGAATAACACAGCCGGGAAGGGGGCGTCGGGAGGAAGAGGTTGCGATTCTAAACGGGCCTGGGGAAGGCCTCGCAGAGGAAGGCCCCGGAGCAGAGATCTGGGCGGGTGTGGAAGGAGCCGTGCAGGCGTGGGGGGAGAGGACTGCGGGCAGAAGGAATGGCGAGAGCACAGTGCTGACCAGGTGGTGAGGACGCAGTCAGGTGCCCTTGGGGCTGGTGTGGAACTGGCAAGGGGAGAGCGGGGGCAGATGAGGTCAGGGCGGAAACGGGTGCCCGGCCAGGTGACGCAGGGCTCGGAGGCTACTGCCAGGACTCTGGGTGGTCTTCTGAGCAAGCCGAGGGCTTTAAACTGAGGACTCACATTGTTGGAAGCAGAGCAGGAGGGGAAGGACAGAGGCTAGCAGACGCGGTAGGAGGGAGGAAGCGGGCGATGAGCAGTGGCTTAGATTAGGAAGGCAGGGCCAGGACCGACGGGAGCAGTTCAATTCTGGAAGTGCTGTGAAGGCAGAGACAGCTCAGCGTGCTGATGGAGCTGATGTGTGGGATGAGAAAGCAGGCGTCAGGGAGACGTCAAGGCTCATGGTCTGAGCAGCGAGAAGGGTGGTGTTGCCATTACTCACAACGGCAGAGGAGGAGGGCCAGATCTGGGGACGAGGGGAGGGGAGAGCATTTTGATCTTCTCTGTCTGAGAGTCTATTACAGATCCAAGCAGAGAGGCTACGTAGCCCCTGGGTACACAGGTCGGTGGTGCAGAGGCGCGATCTGGGCTAAAGGTATACATTAGGGAGTTGCTAACGGAAGGTGGAATTCTATGTCATGGGCCTGAATGGGATCACCCAGAGAGTGAGGATGAGCAGAGGAGACAGTGCATCCAGACTGAGCCCTGGGCCAGCCTGACAGTTAGAGGTTGGGGGAAAGGCAAAGGGATCTAAAAAGAACCAGCAGGGCTGGCCGAGTGGCGCGTTGGTTAAGAGCTGGCTTGGGACGCCAGAGGGCCCCGGTTCAGATCCCACATGAGGGCCAGTGACGCTGCCTTCTGCAGCTAAGATGGTGAATGGCTGGGCTGCCGGCAACGGCATAGGCTGCAGCCCCTGTGGCAGTGG